TGTAAAAACGACCAGCATCCCAAAACTCTTTCCTGGCCTTTTTTTTAGCCTTAGCTTAATCTAATTTCTTAATCCTAATCCTAGATTCTAACAATAAAACTATCGTGCATCACTGGTGGTTTGATAAAAATATAGTTTTTATAGGACAGGAGGAACTCGAGTTGAATTTTATTGTGGATACGAAAAGGGTGAAACTCGCGTTTTTTAGATTACCTTTTTGATGCAGTTCCTATATAATTAGGGTGATGGTCATCAATAACGTAACCAACTCTAGTGCGGGTTTCACTCTTTCATATTTTACCAATAAAAATTATTACACTAAAGCATTATTATAATTCTATTCTAAATACCCGATCATATTTTGATTTGCATTTAAATTAAGTTGTAATATTTTGAAATATATATTCAAGAATCTAGGATCCAAGTAAATCTCTAAAATTAGAATTGAATTTTTCAATCAAATTCATTCAATTTTTTTCAATTGGGACTTCTAAATGTACTATTTATAATTACGTACACAAATTGAAAACGAATGTAACAGAAATTTATCGAGCTAAATCATCCTTACAAAGAACTAGTGAAGTGGTTAAAAAAACCAGTAAATTACATAAGGCCATATACTGTTCATAAATTCAAATCAATTGAAAAGAGGTTTCTGTTTATTATATAATCACTATCTAGCAGGCTAACATGCATTAATTTTCATCTTCCACTCTTTGCCATTAACTAAACTATTAATAATTTGTATTCCACGATGTCCAAAGATAGGATGTTTGACAAATGACCTTTTTTCTGCTAATTCTATTGCTACTTTCTGTGTTGTGCGCGAACTTTTTTCAGCAGCTGAAAGAACAAATTTTGTAAGATTGTATATAGAATTCTAGAATCAGATGAATAAATTATACGTATATGAATTAGAATTAATGAAATAAACAGCATTTTTGTAAATATTCACAAACTATAAAAATAATTGACTAACCTCCCAAGTGTCACCAAGATGTTTTTCAAACATTGGATCATCATCTACGTAACCTGAGGCCTCATCAGCACAATTAACAATGCCTATATGGGAAATGCAACAAAGTTTTGTGTAATCATTCTAATTATTATTTTTACTGCACAAATTTTTCAGTCTTACCCATTCGATTTGCCAAAAAATCTATCATAAATAAAAAGATTATATATTATAAGGGCTATCTCCAAGACAAAACAAAATATTAGACCAATGAAAAACTCACCAGGAACATAAATTATTCCTCTTTCAGCAAGCAATTGTCCATCTTTAGATATGTCTAATATAACAAAGTGTTAATCAAAGGAAATGAAATATTAATTGCACAGTGCGCATTTATACTCAATATTAATAAGTTATCAGGCAGGCACTGTCTGATAACAAGTTTACTTTGTTGAAGATTTAAGATCAGTCTAAGAAATTGAATTCCAGAGAAATTCAATTTCTTGGGCTGATATATAAGGCAGTATCAGAGATGTTAATTGAAAGTAGTTTAAACTATCTCTGTCTGATAATAGTAAGCTTCCGGATAATATATAGCTGTTGAACACACATACCTTGCAATTGATTATTTGCTGCACCACATACAATTTTGGCTTTAATGTTAGGTATAGTTTCAACATTAAGAATCCCACCAATGCCACATGGGGAAACAGCATCAACATCTATAGCAGCACGACATTAATTGTCATTAATTGACATGATATTCATATTCATATATTTATTTATCCAATTTAGAAAGAGACACTGTATATTACCTTCATATAAGATTGAATGATCACTACCCTTAGCTAATCGAAACGAAATAGTACCATCCTTTATTTCCTTAGAAAATGTTTTCTCAGCAGCTTTAATCTTTTGAGAATCTACGTCACAGGCAATTATATGTCCAACTTGCCTTTCAACCAAATATCGTATATAAGCAGTAGCCACATGCCCAACACCCTGTACGTCAAAGAAAGTGACATCAAAGAAGCAATGCATGTTAAACATTGAAATGAAAAAGAAATGAAACGTTAAAAGATTATGACGTTAAACATTTACTTGAACAGCTACAGTAACACCATGCAACGAGCTTTTTCCAATATGTGAAAAGGCGGCCTCAAGGGCGCGAACTACACCTCGAGCCTTTATATGAAGCAATATAATACGATTATTAATTATATTGAAGATGTACCACGAAATTAATCAGAAACCTACATCATAACATGAATACCGTTGGTGAACTGGGATTACCACTACCACCATATTGAGGCGGAATACATGTCGTGAACCGTGTTCTTAAAAATATCGCAGCCATATCATCGTCTATATCAAATAATAATTTCAAATAATAATGTACGTTTAGATGAGCTGAATAAACTTGAACCGTAAAATTTACGAGATAAATTAGGTGTCATCTACCTTTCACGCCTACATCTTCAGCCGTTACGTAACAACCTTTTAGGGAACTATCAAAGATACTTTTTAATAATGACAAATCTAGAAGTAAATAAAATAAATATATACTTGACTACCTTATAAAAGATCCATATTCTTCAAACACTACACGACGTTGTAGTGGAGTAGATCCAATATTTCTGCATAAAAATAAATTTAAATATTTTACAAACCTTTAAAGTCAAGATAGAATTTATACTTACAAACCAATTCCAGTGCTTCGGTCAATAACACCTTTCCCTCCTCCCCACCTAGGAATACATTACATATAAAATATTTAATATCATGACAAAATTGTCGTTTAGTAACTTTTAATTATACATACCACAATTCAGCAAGAGCATTTTTGTGAGTCATGCCTTTAGATAATCTAATTCCATCACGAAACCAATCCTCGATAGTATTGTAACTCCAATTCCTCACACCACCCGCTCCTGGACCTCGACAAGTTCTGTGTATAAAAGCGCCCTATGAATTAAATAAAGATTATTTAATTTTAGTGAATTAATGTCGACGAAATATGCGTCATGTGTATTACCTGTAAAACTCCGGAAACGGGACCAATCTACATATTGAAATTCACATGAATGTATTCATTCACATCATAAATTACGTATTTTTATAATTGATATGATATTTGAGATGAATCACAAAAGATTCAAACATGGACAATTTTTTTTTATAATTATCGTTCTTGACAATAAAAGTCTTTAAATATCATAAATAATAGTTGTTTATTTTTACCTGACCAAAAATCCCTTCATGCTTATCAAAGTCGGTATTCTCTTCTGTAAAATAACTGCAATATCCGAAATAAAAACAATTAATATAATTAATATTCTATTTTCTAAATTTCGAAATATTGCAGTGAAAAAAAAATCAAAAGAAACATACTCTCCAATAGGTTGTAAAACAGGATGAGAAGTAACTACTTTACCAATTTTTTGATCAAATATGGCGTGAAAAGTGCCAATCCCATGCGAACGAAGAAGTGATGCAAATCTTAAAAAGTCAATTAAAAAAAAAAACCTTTAGAATTATCTCAATTTATAATCAAAATGTTATAACTTTTAATTACCCCTTCGGAGAAAGGGAAAGAATCGATGGTTTTGCTATCGATGACATAAAGAAAATTTAAGATCTGTTTTATTGATTGAACAATTTTTCTTTTTTTTTTTATACTATAATATTTATATACAAAAAATGGGGATGATGTTACACTAACTTTAGGCGTCGCTAACTGTAACATACGACCCATTCTATACTTGTATTATTCGTTCGAAATAATTCTAATTTTAAATTTCTTTTTTTTTTTTTTTTTTTAAATAAATAATGACATTAATTAACATATAGGAACGTTAACAGCCAACCCTCCTTGACTAGTTTCTTTATATTTGCTTTGCATGTCTAACCCAGTCTGCCGCATAGTCTCAATTACTTGATCTAAAGTAACTCTATGATTTCCATCACCGTTTAATGCTAATTGAGCAGCGGTTATAGCCTTGATTGCACCAAGAGCATTACGTTCTATACAGGGAATTTGCACAAGTCCATCTATTGGGTCACACGTTAAGCCTAGATTATGTTCCATTCCTATTTCCGCTGCGTTCTCTACTTGTTTCGGTGTTGCGCCCTTTAATAAAAATTAATATTAATAAATGTAGTAATAGTACATATGCATGCAAATTGAATCTCTTTGACTAACCATTACTGCGGCGAATCCAGCTGCGCTCATGCTGCATGCTGTGTGCGATACGAGACAAAACACGGTTACGTGTGTAAGTAATTAACGTTAATAATTATCGTATTGATCCCATATTAAGGGTTGTTTCATTACTTACCAACACCAACTTCTCCTTGACAACCCATTTCAGCTGCACTAATACTTGCACCTCGTTTGTAAAGCATACCTATAGCGGCGCTAGTAAACAGAAATTCCATGATATCCCGTGCATGATTATCAGATATAAACTCCAAAATATATTTTAGCACAGCGGGAATTACGCCGGCTGCGCCATTAGTTGGTGCAGTAACCACCCGTCCACCAGAAGCATTTTCCTCATTAACCGCAATAGCATACAATGAGATATAGTCCAAGACAGGTAACGTGGGTTGTTTCCAAAGTTTTCGTGGAATAACTTTTTTGTAACTTGTGCTTGGCACTAGCGAATTATCTGTCGCTTTCAGAAGTGGAAGTTCATTCATTCCACTTATTAGTTTCTGGTATAACCCTGGAGCTCTCCTTCGTACTTTCAAATTACCTGGTAAATATTCTTCAGTGTTCATACATCCATTTTGAATGCTTTGATTCATTGTATTCCAAATGTCCATTATTTTATTTTTAATTTGCTCGGGAGTTCGCCATTGTAGTTCATTATGGTAAACAACTTGTGCAATTGTCATGCATTCTCGCTTACAAACATTTAATAATTCTTCAGCATTTCGAAAAGGTAACGCAGCAATAGTAACAGCCTCATCTTGCCTTGCACGCTGTAAGTCGGCTGAAGATTTATCATAATCTTTATAAAAAAGATTGTCACCATGTTGTTGAATGGTGGTTTCTTCAACTACAAAGCCACCGCCTATTGAAAAAAATTCACTAGTAATCAAAGGATCACCATGCTCATTGAAAGCAATAAATCTCATGCCATTTGGGTGTTGAGGAAGTGATTCATAATAGTGAAAAACAAGATGTTTTTTAGCATTAAATTTTATTGTTTTTGTTCCATTCAGAGTAAGAATGTCTACAAAAATAAGATATCGATATTAAAAGTCGTAAATCACATGATTATTATGTCATAGCTGTATACTAATGATGCTGCATACCTGTTTCATTAATTTTGGATATTCGCGATTTTATAGTAGATGTGTCAATTTCTTCGGGAGTTTCACCCTCCATTCCCATTAAAATTGCATTAGGAGTACCATGACCTTTACCGGTTAAAGCCAATGATCCATATAGATCAATCCGAAGTCTATTTACCTATAACAATAAATAACATGAAAATTCAAAAATATAAAACGGTTTAAATTTTAAATATAAATATTCACCTTTTCAAAAATATTGCGATTTTTTAAATCTGTTACGAAAATCTTTGCTGCTCGCATTGGGCCAACAGTATGACTAGAAAGATACATAACTTTAACGTTAAATCGAACTTTACAATATAAGGTTATTATCAACACCAACCTTGACGATGGGCCAATACCAATACTGAAAAGATCAAATGTACTGACCACGGCATGATGGTCTTCAGGTTTTGTAGTTAATAATTTTTTTGTATATGTGAATTTCCAATGGCCTTTGAAAGGATTAAACCCGTGCGATAAGAATCGATTAAAACCTCGCGCGAGTCCCATTATTATTACAAATCAAATGGTGAAAAGTCACTTATTATAGATAGTAGAGGTGATACAAACTTGATTTTCACTCATCACTATGTAATGGCAATAACTTTCCCACGCCTCATCAGAACTATGGCTCTTAGCGATCTATTTTAATGAAATTTGACTTTTAGTGTAACTTTCCTTTTAAGACGCAGTGGGTCTATTTTGGTTTAACAATTAACATTAGTACAATCTTATTCATAGAATAGTTTTAACTTTTATAATTGTCGTATATTTTTTGTAATTGTTTTATCATACAATATTCAAAATTTACACAATATAAATTTACTTTTCGAACTTTAATACGTATAGTAAAAATCTACAAGTTAACGTTAAAATAATTGGCTGCTGAAATTTAGGGTCCCTATTTAAATCTATAATACCTACTAAAATTCACTTATACTCTTTATTAACAATACTAGCTCTAAATCCCTAAAAAAAAAGGTCTACATAAAAGGTTCCGAAAAAATTTAAAATTTCATAAATTTGATTAAAATTTCAGCATCAGCATCAGCTATCACAATGATTTAAGTTTGCGAATACGTACAATCAACTGCTTCCAAGCGTAAGCTATTGGTGTTTACTAATTTTGTCTCAACATCCGCTTTTGCAGATAGATATGTACGTAAGTACATACTATAAGAGAGCATGATCTTCTAAAGCTCTATTATATAGCCGCAGCAGGTTCCCTTATGTCAAGCGAAAATCGGGACTTTCCAATCCGAATATTTAGATCCAGAGTATATAAAATATAATACAAATAATAAATTTAAAGTATTAAATAAAGACAGCTAATTTTATATAACATTCTATTTTGACCCGGGTCAAAATGACCGGGGTAAAATCGCCACCTAAAAAAGTTTCGAAAATCATGTGATATTGTCAATTCATCATGATAACTATCCAGACCAATTTATATATATGGCGTAATAACATTTTGGTCTGGGTTCAAAACTAATTACCCATATTTATAAAATATTAATTGATTTAGTAAGTGATTTATTTTCTTCGATTCTTCAAAATGAAAAGCGATC